TGTGGGGGGTATAGGGGGAGGGGGGAGGGGGGCAGAGGCTCCGAGCGACAGCTCATGCGTCGATCAATTGAAACGTGAATAATCCGCCCAGTCAACACAGCTGAGCTTTCAGAGGGTTCCGTCGTGTCCCCAACATACATGTCACGACGCGGTGGAATCAGACGTTCGTTACTGTTTTGAGAATATGGAGCTTTAGTCATCTTAAAGCTTGTTCATTTGTCTTGCATTTGGTGAAAAAAAAATACCCATCTATCTTGAATAGAAGTCTAGATATTTCCGAGTGAACGAGGTGGGGTCGCCTGGTGTCAGGGGTAAAATTAGCGAGAAAATGGCGCCAAAGTTTGGTGACTTCGAAAGTTTGAGTGTCCTTGGAAAGCGGTGCCTTTGATCAACGTTTTTTTAAAGTAAAATCCACCTAAACATGTGCACGTAAATGGACACAGAAGGTAAATCGAAAAAATTGCCCAAAGGCCAAGACAATGCTGTTTTTTCTTGACTACACTATTTTGACGAACGCCTGATTTCACCACGCTGCCTCACATATCACAGGCCGCGCCCAAAGCCTGAGAGGGGCTCTTGTGATCATAAAGCAAAACCAGGCCACGCTCAATCGCACGTTTTCAGCGGCGCTGATTAATGCACATTTTGCTTTTTTGTATCTTTCTCATCATCACTCCCTCCCCCCATCTCATAAATAATATTGTCATGTAAATTTTATATATTATGTACGTGTGCGTGGATGTGTGTGTGAGTGTGTGTGTGTGTGTGTGTGTGTGTGTGTGTGTGTGTGTGTGTGTGTGTGTGTGTGTGGTGTGTGTGTGTGTGCGTGTGCGTGTGTTTTTGCATAGAGGTATGGCTGTACGGTAAGTGTATGTTGGGAGAAACGACATGATCCATGGTGCTCACAAGGAGACAAACCTAAAATAAATGAGTGAAGTCTGGCCGTTGGTGAGCCCGATAGCCGCATGACAAATGTACAATTTTGCTTTTGTCCTTGAAAACGGCCGATTAAATCTATTGCTAAGGACATTGTTGAAAAACAGCAGATTAGATCAATTGCTAAGGACATTGTTGAAGATAAACGATAAACCAGATAACAAATGTCGAAGTATGTTTGTTTTGGTTTTGTTTTTTAACCGTATCCGTACGTCGTGTTTTACTACCATATCCATACGACGTGGGGAACTCTGCGCCACTACTTTCCAAAGAGAAAATTTACCCGTACGCTTTGCATAGCAGTCTGTCAAAATGACTTTTTGAGAAATACTGAAAGTTTCAAAGAGATTTTCGTGCTAGAAGTATTCTAAAATGTGAAGAAAATAACCCCGGGTGTCCGAAAGGACCCCAGGATGAACGGATAGGGTTAATGAACGCCTAAGTAAGTGCTGAAGATCTACACCACACTTATTTACTTATCCATGAAGTCCTCTGGCTGTCTTAACGATAGAAACAAGGTGACCAATGCATACAAACATAAGCCCAAAAAGGCATGAGGAAGAAAAAAATGGGAACAGCTAGTCAACACAAAACTTAACGTAAAAGTGTATTTATTGTTAGACGCTTCTCTCACGCTATAAGGTTATTTAGAGACGGAACTTCCAGGTGTAATGTCCATTTCCGATAGGACCGACCTAAAAGGGTGAAGAGCTTAAAGTTAAAACCCTCCAGACAACGTAAATTTAAAACATCCTGCCATGTTAGGAATTCGAACCACCACCATCCGCTGCGTCGTCCAGCGTGATACCATCTGAGCTAACGGCGCGCCCAGCCAGCACAATCGCGATAACCTACAGCGAGAACGGCACAAAGATAACGGTGGTCGTTAACACAAGTAGAAGATGAAAGCCACACACTGCGCCCACAAACAACCCCAACAAGAAAAAGGGGGGAAAAGGGGGCGGGGGTGGAGAGGGAGACAGAAAGATGGCAGAGAGAAAGGCAGGACGAAGATGATGAGATAGAGCGGCAGCACAATGACAGGAGAGGAGGAGGAGGAGGAGGAGGAGGACCAGGACGACGACAACAAGGAGGACGAAGAGGAGGAGGAGGAGGAAGTGGAGGTGGAGGAGGAAGAGGACAAGGAAGAGGAGAACGAGGAGGAGGAGAAAGAGGAGGAGGAGGAGGAGGAGGAGGAAGAGGAGAACGAGGAGGAGGAGGACAAGGAAGATGAGGAGGAAGAAGACGAGGAGGACGAGGACGACGACGAG